CTAACTTTGGTCATCAAAATTAAAGTGGTAATAAAATAGATGGCTACTAGCTACTATGCCAAATATAGCATGCAACTAAAGTCATGTTTAGATCTATTAGCTGTTAATAGCTAATTAATATTAGATGCTATTAGCTAGTTTAGTCCAACTAGTAAAATAATTATTAGTTTATTTAGCTAACAATTAGCTAGATCTGTTCAATTGCAAGAAGCTAATTATTAGTAGCTAACTATTGGTTCTGTGAATCAAATAGGATCTAAATAGAGGTTAATTAAAATTGGTCAAAAGTATCCAATTCTAGACTGGCTACCTCGAGCACAGCATCAAGTAAATTTAGGTGCTAAGATTTGGATTTCTAAAACGTAGCTAGCTAGTGATGCAAGTTTTTCTGTCTGGGTGATTGGGTACCAAAGCGTCTCTCGTTGAACTCATATAAATTGCAAACCAAGAAAGGGGTAGAAATGAACTCTTCCCATCCTAAAAGGAAAGTCATTCTTGTTTTGGTCTATGTCGGATTAATAATTATTTAAAGTTTGATCAAATTTATATGAAAATGTGTCAATATTTATGAAGAAGTACCATTAGATCAATATATTTTTAGTCGGCATTGAGGGGCTGTCTTGTTGGAAGCCTATCAAGCAACTCGTCAGCTCCGAGCCCAGACATAGGACTCTAAAATTGTTTGGGCTTAAACCAAACAGGTCCAACACGAAAGTCTCCACGGAAGGAGATGTCATAGGAACATAATCAAAACTCTGAATAAAGGACACTCCGTGAAGTGTGATGATAAAAAACCCGAGGTAGATAAATTTGCTAGATGCCATCGGTGACCATCTGCATAAGGGAGTCAGATCAATTGTGTTTCAAGTTCTTGTGTACGAATTTGAGAGCATACCTCACTGCTTGAACGTACACCAAGAGTTTTAAAATTTTTGCATGATGGATGCAAGCTCAGCACGACTGTAGCAAACAGGGGTACGTCAGTCATTGTAAAGGGGTCTTCTCCCCTTTCAGTGATTCCCCGATTGAGAGTTGTACGTTTTGGCTACTTCCAAAGTGAAAACTGGATAGTAACTGAGGTTCAAGGATTCCAAAGCTAAGGAATTGGAAAGGAGGCATGTGAGCTCATCTCCTTTAATATACACAAAAAACATGTCTGATCTCGTCAGGCTTCTGAAGCAACCAAGATCAACTATGGGATGAAAGGTGAAGACTCTAGAGAAAGATAGCCAAGGGAGTCTGCACTTCTGCATTGCCATTTGATAAAATTGAGCATGGGAATTTGAACTTCCCGGTGATATTTTGAGCCAGAGTAAGTGTGAGTTCGTCAATCTGTGGTGGTACCTCGCATTTTGATTCAGAGCATTCAAAAGTTTTAAGAGTCTTCAAGTTACTGCCCAAGTTCTTCTAAAGTTTGAATTGTCCCCTTTGGAGTGCAGAACTGCAGACATTTTTTTTTGTTTTCTGTTTTTTCTATAAAAGAATAAACTAATTTCTGTAAAATTGCCATACGATTTCATCAAAATTCATGGATTCCAAAAGAGCCCTAAACCAGAATTGAAAAAAAAAGATGTGCTTGATAACACATTCTCTTCTTTGAACTAACTTATGCTGTGGGTTCACATGCTCTCCGGTAAACATTACGACCAACGAGCATTACAAGCTTCTCATCCAACAACCAAATTCGTCCCTTGTAAAAGTTTGATACCTACAAACTGTGCATGAATTTGTAAGGAAGTCACATGATATGTAGATGAGCAATACTCCTGTCTTCCTACCAGGAAATATCCTTGCGGCAACACAAGATGCCAAGACGTTTCTAACACCTCAGCAGAGGACCACATTCAATAGCAACAACACCGGCAAACAGAAAGATTCCACGACAGACACACAGATCACAGATCTCACATGAAAGTCTGGGCCAACAAGAAGTGCAGCATAAGACTGTCTTCAACAAGAGTGACCCAAAATAAAAGATCTATTCGTCCTTGGGGTAACGCTAAGGCAAAGGGTTCAATACTTATTTTTTATTTTCTCTAACAAAAGACTTAAAAAATAACCCTTTCTACAAATGGGTCTCCAGGAGAGAAGATACTCAGATTTGGGTTATACCTCTCCTGGCACAAAAAAATAGGTCTTCAATATAGATACTCTGTTGAAGGCTTTAGATATTCAGCATGTTCGCTTGCTCGTATACGATCGTAGATTATAAGCTGGAACAGTATTTTTCTCTCACACCAAACCAGCCAGCAGTAAATAATTCACGATCGTTTATGGCCTGCCGAACAGGCTGATTGTGTTGGAGACCCATTTTAGGCTTGGGTTCCGCAATGGGTCTCCTGTTGGAGACAGCGAATTCCCAGATGGGCCTCCATTCTTCCGTTTCAAAAGCATTCATTCCGAAATTGATACAAGTGTACAATCTAAAAAATTAACCGTCATGTTCATAATGCCTGATCGCCATCACTAGATTATACACTTTACAGCAACAGTGATCATTTTGGGTATGATTGTCGCAATCATACAGTACAACACAAGCTCAGTAAATGGAGCTTAACTACAAATACAAAATACATGGGGAAAAAACTAGAAAGCTGAGCAGTTGTGTGCACACGTAGCACATGAGCCATACACGGCTCAGAATTGCAACCACCAAGGTATGGGCGTGTATGGTCATGAAGCAGCATATCTCATGCAGATATTCCCACACATGAAGATGAGATCATCACATATTAACCCCCCACCCCCAAAAAAAAAAAAAAAATCTGAAACACACTAGGAAGTTGGAGATCTGTGAGATTGCATGAGCAATCCATTTCATTGGGCCTGGGCCGTGGTCCCCCCCAAAGTTCCATACAGAACCTTTTAAATTCTGATGATAACGGGATGAAAGCATCCAAGGCTATTATTCTGTACCGAAGGGATGAGCTGGACCAATTCAAATTGAAACTATGAGCTGGACACCCCATATGCTCATCAAATAATTTGAGGTCGTCATCCCAGTACAGAATGGATGATACATTGCATATTCAGAACAGTTGGGTTCATAATGTAAAGCCAACAGGGCAAAGAAATTGATAATCATAGTTGCACGACGGGCTCGAATAAAGGGAGATTAGCAGTGGACCAAATCTTGCAAAGCTATTATGAATGGTTAAACATAAAGTCAGTATCACTTTCAGGTCGGCGTCAATTCCATGAACCACCAAATCATGAGCCTAACATTGCAGTAAAATAATGCATCTAAATGGTGAATCGCTTTCTGCAATACTGTTCTCGTGATCATGATATCTGAGAACTGAAATGCCCAGTCAAGTATATTCATAAAAGAACATGCAATTGAACCCACTTCAAATAGATTATACATTTCACAATGCATCCATCAAGGCGGCAAGTGCAAAACAGCCAAACAAGTAAAGCTGTTGATTTTCATCTTCAATACTGTTGTTGATTGTTATGCTTATTTCTGTATTCACTAAAGATGCCCATTTTATTTCACTAAATTTCAATAGCGTGACTTTGTCATCGTGTTGGAATAGTCTTCTGTCATTGTGTTAGAATAATCTTCTGCTACAGCATTACCCAATAAAATAAGATATTATTCAGGAGCCTCGGCACAAGTGAATCATGCAACACTCAATAATTTGTTGGTGGCAACATGTCATTTTCAGGAATCTAACAAACTCTATTGTACTCACTAGTAAGAATTGTCTTAACACAAGCAACTTTTTGTTAATGTACTATCACCATTGATTGGCATAAGGCTTTGAAATGTACCAAGCAAACAACTTTATCACACAGGACACAACAGCAAATGCATGTTAGCTGTATCTTGATTGAGATAATCCAAGGACATTGCACACTTTGAATCTCTGAACAATCCATCACTGCGTTTAAACTATGGGACCATTTCATAAGTAGCACCATAGTTGCTGAGTTGCACAATGGTGGTCCTTGTACCTGAATTAGAGGGTAATGGATGCTGGGAATAAAATTAGGGTATGAACCCTTCTCAATCAACAAATGTTCTTCCACTATCAACTTAATCTTTTTGACCTCGCACCAACTATTGCTGAAAAGGACTACCAACTATTCTTATTTTATTTTATGCATTTTTAAGATACAGATTTTTTTTTAAAGAGATAAATATATCTCTATCAATTCATCACATTTCACCATGAAGTTATTTATCTATAACCTATATATGAACACGATCAATGCTTAACAAATGAAGTCTGAAACAAAGCTAGCAACCAAGTTCACATTCATTTTCAGCTTTTAGTGTGACTATGCTCGACATGAATAAAACTGAATGGAACTAGCTGACATACAACATAGCACTGCATGACCAATTTTGATATGCTCTAAAACAGGGGAAGAAAAAAGTTTGCATCTCAAAGGTACATATTACCATTATTCAGCTGAATTTTCAACATCAAAAGCTAGGAATGGAAACAGGCAATAGAAACAGACCTACTTTAATTACAAGGTTATTGTCAGAAAAAGGGAACTAAACAAAATCCAAGTATAGATTAACAAAGCCAATAATGGTATCCTTCCAGATTCAACAATTTCAGATATTAATGGTCAGTTAAGAATTACAGATATGAATCTACTAGCGTTTTTTACATCCATTCTGTGCATAAATCACTCCAAGAAGTTCCCAATGCAGGCATTATTAGCAAGTAACAAGACACGACAAGCATAGAACTGGGCATGATTTATGAGAAACCACCTCTCTTAGCCCTCTTGTCAACACACAGCATACGGATTGGAACAAATATAAGGGCCAAAATTTTCATATATATGTGATGGATCAACACGGTAATCATGTCCTCGTTCGTTCACCTCAACTCACCTCATGTTTTCCATCCCCTCTCTCGTCAGGGGAAGGAAGGAAACAAAGTAGCCGGACCACAAACACATCGGGAAACAAAATCGCGAGAAAAAAAAATGGTCAAAACTTTATCACGAAAGCGACGTGACGACTCGCCTCCGCCTCAGTCGAGGAAGCCAGTGCGGCGCAGGACGGCGTTGCGGACGCGGCGGAGGTCGCGGCCCTTAAGCGTCCTCCCGGCGCCCTCCAGCACCGAGCTGTGCGCGGCGGCGCGGCGCGCGACGATCTCGTGCGGGGGGACCACGGCGTCCTCCGCGCTGCCGCCCGCCCCCGCGACGGCGTGGGCCCACCTCCTCCTCCGCGCGGACTCCGACTGTATCCGCACCGGCGCCGACCTCGCCATCGTGGACGCCGCCGCGGCGGTCTCCGGGACGGGGCGCGCGGCGGATCGGGCGGGCCCCCCGACCCCGACCCCGCCCGCGCCGACCACGGCCGCGGCGCGCTTCTTCTTCTTGCCCTCGTCCTCCGGGAGCGCGGCGAGGAGGCCGAGGCCTACCGCGGACGGGGTGGCCGGCCAGAGCACGTCGAGCTCGAGGAGGTCGCCGTCGGCGCCCGCCGCGGCCGCGGCGTGGGTCGGGACGGGGAGCGGTGGGCGGGACGACAGCAGGAGGCGGTCCATCGCGTCTGCTTCTGCTCCGGGGATCACCAGTGCGGCGGATCTCCGGCGACGCGGCGTCGCTCCGGCATGGGAGGTGGAGGCGGGCTGGGCGTGCGCGAACGAGGGACACGCGACACCGGCGAGGAGGGGAGGCGGGCGCCGTGGCGGACCGGGTGCTTTGGGCTTACAGGGAGGAGGGCAAGTTGTTTTCCGCTGTTTTGCACCTTGGCCCTTTAGCTTCTGCTGAATCAAATTCTCGTACCGCGCCGCTTTTGCCTTTTTGACCAAAACTGTCTCGTGGGCTGTGGTGCATGGGCTGAAAACGGTTTGGCCCACGTGTTGCCGCCAAGAGAGGCCCATTTAAAGATTTACGCTACGTGACTGCCCAGTCAAACAACGGACCGAAGGAAAGTAGGAGCCCTAACGAATTCAGCGAGTCGGGCGCAGGCAAAACAGAAAGAAATCATGAATAATAAAAAACAAAGGAAGAAATCAGTTTAAATTCCTGCAAGTTTGTTTCATTTATCCTAGGGTAATGTAATCGCGTGATGGGCATCTGCTTCAGCAGCAAGCGACGCGCCACGCCGCCGCCGTCGACGCCGTCATGGTCGTCGGACCTCCCTCCGGAGCTGGCCGGCGTCGTGCTCCGATGGCTGCCGTCGCACGCCGACCGCGTCCGCTTCGACGCCGTCTGCCGGCACTGGCGCGTCGCCGCGCAGCAGCAGCGCTCGCTGGTCCCGCCGCCGCTGCCGTGGATCAGCTTCAACAACGACCGGTTCCAGAGCCTCTGCGACGGTGAGCGAGCAGCACGCCCTCAGGCGGTGGGGCCCCGGCAACGCGCTCCGCTGCTACAGCACCTTCGGCGGGTGGATCCTACTCGAGATGGACGACCCGGCGCGCTCGTGCTTCCTACGGAACCCATTCTCCGGCGAGTCGATGAAGCTGCCGTTCCAGCAGGAGGAGCAACGGTTCGGCGACCCGTACGCCCGGTACAGGAACCGCTCCGCGTTCCGCAAAGTCGTCTCGGCAGGCACGCGCAGCGGGCTCATCGTGCCGCGCTGTTCAAACCCAGCATGCGAGAGAACCCCAAGACCATCGGGATCTGCCTGCCGGTCACCGGCGCGTCGTGGGCGCTGCACACCCGCCGCGACGACGGGCCCGACGGCGGCATGCGGTACGAGGACGTCGCCTTCTTCCGCGGGAAGCTCTACGCGGTCGACAACCGAGGGAGCCTCTACGCGTTCGAACTCGCAGCGCAGGGGAAGATGGTCCGCTGGAGCATTCTGTAGGAAGACAACGCCGTCGGCGGAGCACTCGAACAACGACAACGGCGACACGTGAGCATGGTCGGAGGTGACGTCGACCGGCGCGTTGGAGGACCAGACGCTGTTCGTGAGCCGGAGCTGCTCGGTCGCCCTCTCCGCGTCTGGTTACAGGTACACCGGCGCGGACGTGCGAGGGGGCCGCGTGTTCTACCTGGAGGACGAAGGGTCCTCCTGCAACGCCAGGTACCTCACGTACATGGGGTTCGGCCGGAAGTGGAGCCTTCGCGTCTGCGGCGTGTACGACCTGCGGCCGCGGGACCGGACGGACGGCCGGCCGGACCCGACTCTCGGACGGTGGGCGGAGGTTGTGGGCGGAGGACGATGGTGACCGGACGGAGTTCGTGCCGTTTGAGGTGTGGTTCTTCCGCATGCGTGCAGCTAGTGCGATCGAGGTGACTCGTTCGGAAATTTTCGTGAAGAAATGTGATGCGCACTGCTGCGTTTGGGAAGCGGGATGTATCCGTGGAACTTTTTGGCTAGTTGCTCGATGGTTGAAACAAATATACTCGCTCCATCTTAAATTATAAGTTATTCCAAAAACTTTAGAGAGTCAAAAGTTTCACCAAATTTATATGATAAGATAATAACATTTATAAGTCTAATTAAAATCATTAAATTATTCATCAATTATATTTTCATATTATACATATTTGATGTCATAAATCTTTATAATTCTCTTTATAATTTCAGTCAAATTTGAGATATTTTGACTCTCCAAGATTCTTGAATGCCTTATAATTTGGAATGGATGGAGTACGTATCTATCATAAGTTGGTCATTAACTGTGTTATTTATATACGTGCGTGGTCAGGCAGTGAAGGTGAACGGGAAAAAAGGGGTAAAAGATTGCAAACAAAAAGAAATCGTGGTAGGAAGAGGCAACGTGAAGGTGAATGGAAAAAAAGGGTAAAGGTGATTTAAAAAGAAAAGAAATTGTGGAAGGAGGAGGGCAACGTGAAGGTGAATGGAAAAAATAGGGTAAAGGTTGAATGAAAAAAAATCGTGCAAGGAAGAGGCAAAAGCATTTCCATTACCGGGATTTGAACCCATAGGGTAAAGGTTGAATGAAAAAAAAAAATCGTGCAAGGAAGAGGCAAAGTTATTTCCATTGCCGGGATTTGAACCCGGGTCGCCTGTGTGAAAGCCAGGTACCCTATCCGGACTTGACGACAATGGAACTATTGTACATAGCGTACAAAATATCTTATTTGAAGTAAAGAATATTCTTGCTTAAGGCCAACGTATTATATAAAGCCATCTCATCCTCACTTCGTGTCTCGCCGTTTCACTCGTGAAGTCTCCAAGATAACACATCACACAGAAAAGCGTTCAGTGGAAAGGAATTTGTCGGATCGCCTTGATATATATAAAGATGAAAAAAAAATGGAGCGTACCCTCGTTCCCTCGAGCAGTCAAGCCTCTTGATGCCATGTTCTCTAGATTCAATCAGCTCAGCCATCTCTGCACTATAACCTACACAATGCACAAACACGAACTCGCCGTCTTCCAAGTTCCAATGAGGGTCTCCAGGTCTGTATATGTTTAGATCAACAAACGTACAGGGTCGCAGCCTCGCAATAACTAGAATCTGGGAGGAAAATTACACAGAATCTTTTGGTAACATTCCTGAGATATACCAATCGTTATCTGATTTCTGGCATTGCAAAATCCTGGTGTTCTTTCTGCATTTGGCTTCCAAATCAACGAGTGTGGTCATCAGGTGATGATTGCAGCCAGTTAACACCGCAAGGCAAGCCTCTTGAACTGTTTCCTTGCACACAGAACACGTGTGCTGGAGTTTCCACACTTTGACCTGAATAAACACCCGTCAATGTTGCAACAAAACAGCAAAGCATTTTTTTGCAAATAAACTTGCAAAGCATCCAGTAACTACTGCAGAGCGTAGGAAATGGCAGAGGTAGCAATGGGGGGGAAACCATCATCTTCCATTCCAATCTCAACAACCAATTTCTACCAGTTTCAAATCAGATATCAAATCAGGCTCCGTAACCATACACTCTAGTTTCTACTACACATATAGTACTACCAAATTAGCAGACATCACTGGAACTTCCTGACCAACTCAAGTTTACGAGCCTGGAAGAATTTGCAATGGCCTTTTCCGCTTGATTCGATCTCCTCAGTCTTCCTTTTGAAACCAGTAAAGCCTAGGCTCGAAAGCTTGACTTGTCGCTTGGTGCTTCCATTGTCAGTCCCATCTTCATCAACTTCATCAACTTCATCAGACTCCCTTCGTATCATTAGTTCATTACCATGTGGCAAAATTATAATAGCAATCAGAATCATGTTTTGCAGTTCACAAAACACACTAACGAATTTTGTTCACAAATGGGCACATAAAGGTTGCAAATTTGAACACACCATGTAACCTCAACTGCATCCTTGAAGAAGGGCTTACAAGTTCCCCAACTAAAACGAACCAAAGTTGGGAAGCCAAATACTGGATGCTTGTGATCTTCTAACCATTGCTTAGTATCAGGGTCTGCACCATTAATTTGGATGTTCTTTAATGCGACAAGACAAGTCACATGATTACAGTTTGATAAAATCATTTACAATGAGGAATCAGTTACCTCCTGGATATCCTGATCCAGTTTTCATGTGCAGACTCAGAGCTGTTTCATCAAACACCCAGTTTCGCAAGGCTCTGTCCCTAGTCACCTGCAGTTGCACATCACAACTTTACAACTAAGCAAGCCTATAAGAAAGTACCTACACAAGGAAATTTGATTCGAGAAATTACCATTGCGACTATACTTGCTCCACTAACAACAGGGTAAAGGCTATCAGCTTTTTTGGCAACCACAAATTTGATTCCTGGAAACTTTTCTGTCAGCTTGATTCTATACTTTTCGGGATCTCCTACTGTATCTATATATACCTTTTCAAGGAGGAATACAATTACTAAAAAAATGTGGTGAATAAAATAATCTTATAAGGATAGCCGCACAAGAAATCTTTTTGAATTAAAGAATATATGCTCTTACTTCTGCCAGTAGAACTCCCATGTCAAGCACTTTTCTAACAAGGCACATGGCAGAGTTATGTGATATTTCATTCAGATTAACTTTCGACCTGAAACAATGGGGCTATCAATGAAGATAACAAGGCCAAGTTTAAGTTTCAATAGGTACAAAGGCCAGACATACTTTTTTAACATTTTAGCAGACAGATCCTTTGGGCATATGACATCCACTTCCCACCCAATAGAGTTATTGACCTTTAAACTTTCAAATAGCTCCTCTCTTTGTTCTTCCTTCAAGGTCTTTGAATCTGCTTGAGAAGACAAGATCAATAGGCCATGCTAATTGTCAATGTGTTAGTAGCTAATTGTCAATGTGTTAGTAGCAAAAGTACTCTTGAACTTTTCCGTGGCCCATGGAAAGTTACATGCTCAACCAACTCTACCACTGAAACATCATAAGATAGTAAGCATAATAACTGCCAAAGTACGAAGACAGATTCAAGATTTACCACTCCAAAGGTTGAATTCATGCAAATGTCAGTATGCCACAGATAAACAGGAGATGTGCCAACACTAACTCTAAGATGTCAGAAGCTGACGGGCTTAACAAAATTCGGAAAACAATAGTTTGCTACAAGAATAATGTACATGGAAGCACCTGCAGCTCATGGGTTCATTGAAAGGGACTAGAGAGGGGAATATCTGGCAGACAAGGGAAACAAGAGGTGGATAGCAATTAGCAGCAGCTAATCTGGTTGCACCAAGCTCCTGCCTTTTGTCTGGAAAAAATCATGATGTGCCTTTTGTCAGCCCTTTAAAAGATACGCGAGCTTCTATCATGCCAGATCAACCAAAGTGCTTAACTACTGCCAGCATCTACTTAGTGAATGAACACAAATTGAACAAAGGTTGCATATTGGCCTATCAAAGATTATGTGTTATAAATTCCAAGCTACCCCATTTCTCTCTCTGACACAGGCTCACAGTCACGGAATCATCCAGTATATCACTGAAACTAAATTGCATATACATGTCTGTAGAATTAAAACTACTCTGAGAATATTGAGCTGTGCATCGCGAAGGACTAACACAACAATCAAGTAAATCAGCTTCAACAAGCAGATGAAGAAGATACGAGTGAAGAAGACCTGCGAATTTCAGGGTTGCAAGAGTGTTATTGTAAGAGCGCGCGCAGTACATACATCCATACACCATAGGACCTGCAGGAGCAGTAACAGGAAGTGAACTTTAGGTAGACATTTTGCTGTGGAATGTGCTGAAACCAACTAGAGTTTCAATCAGCATTGCACATTTTCATGAGCGTTCATCATACTTCACTTGATATGCCACTGAACATTTGTATTTAAAACCCAAAAGCATCCGAGCCACATTGCATATTACACACTCCGTCCACAAAAGAATGCAATTATGGGAACTAAGTCGGTCAAACTAGCTCAAGTTTGACCAGTTTATAGTCCAAATAAATTTATTATGAAAATATATTTTACGACTAATCTAATGGTAATTATTTTGTCTTGTTAGTACTTTATCATATAATTTGAGTCAAAGTTTAAACTACTCCTCGAAATATGAGAATTGCATTCTTTTGTGGATGGAGCGAGTAATAACCAACCAGAAGAGAGGCAAGAGTTTTACCAAGGACAGGGCCACGGCCAGCCTCGTCGATCCCCCATGAGGCAGGGCTCCTTGGTAGCCCACTCCGGCACCAGCGCCGCCACGGCCTCCGCCATTTTCCGCCCGCTGCGTTAGGGCAAAAGCGAGAGAGGAGAACAATAAGCCAGGTACATCCTGGGGGGATGGAGATGGAGATGGGATTGGAGCAAGGCGGGGAGGCGGATTGGAGGTCAATGCTACCGGATTAGGGAGGAAAGGAACTCACCTTGCTGCGGGCGTGAGTTTGGCGGAGGCGAAGTGCGTCGTTGGCTCGCTGCTGACTCGTCGTCGCCGCTTGGGTGGCGACTGGCTGGCGAGGAGGCGCACCGGGTACGGGGACTGCGTGCCTGCGCCGCTGCGGGGGCGGGGCTCTCCCTCTCCGCTGGTGGCGTCCGCTCCAAAAACTTGCAGTTGCAGCACTGCCTCGCAGTCGGACCGGGCCAACCGGACTGGCAAGAATGGGAGGTATTAGCCCAGCAAAGGCCGAGGACCATCTACCGTTAAGAATTGATCCGTGAATGCCACGGCCCACGGAGAGCAAAAAGGAGATCCCGATTCTAGTCACTGTCGTCAGGTCAGTTATGCAGCGCTAATTCAGCACGGTGTTTTTCTCTCACAACAAATCAGTATAAGTATCAGCATAAGCTAAATCTCAGCGAAACAAATAGGGCTATACGCGGGCCACGCGAGCATCACTCGTGTTGCCCTCGAAATCCTGGCCCCCATATCAATAGGATTTACCCTTGCCAGAGCTCAATTATGTTCTCCAAGGATTTGCATATAAATGCATTCATAGGCGTTGACGCGCCCTTTTTCTAGTCTCACTCGAAAGCTACGGCTCCAACAGCCGAGAGGGACGGCACCGAGTGCCCAACGACGAATTGAAGCGTCCTCTATAAGCGGTAAAGCTACGGCAAGTTCGGTAAGGCAATTTAACCACCACCTGGAGCCTTGGCCAGAGGAACTAGCTAGTCGCAACATCGACCGGCCCAGGGGAAGATCTTGCTGTGATTTCGCAGATTAGCTCCAAACACCAAGCAGAGGTTTCCCCACTGATTCTTCTCTTCATTAGTATTTTTCTGTACACTCCATAGTTCATTCGTGATCATATTTCTTGCTCTCAAATGTTAATCATGAATTACTCCCTCCGTACCGGTAAAGAAAGTCGTTTAGAACAGCATTTAGTATACCAAGGAGTAGTTAATTATGGTGTATTTTTCTCTGTTTGCCCTTATTAAATAGGGCTACGGGTATTTTCAGTACAACAATCGTTGACAGATGGATTGGTTAGTGCACTGTGGTCTGAGACTGGAGTAGCAAGGTTCGAGCCCTGTTTGGCCCAATTTTTGCCTGCCTGATGCATGATTTTGCATGTGCATGGCACTATGCAGTTGGGCGCTCCGGTTTTTGCCGTTCGTGATTTTGCCTCTCTTTTTTCAACCGTTCGTGATTTTGCCTGTGTGATTTCTGCTCTCAACTTTAACGATGTGTTCTAGTGCTCTGTCTTGACATCTTTCTTTTTCATCTACTACTTCATGGTCGTCACTACACCAGCACGCTAGCAGAGCCAGCGTCCGAGTAGTGCTTGCAGCGGCGGCGGCACCAGCCATGGGCGACGAAATATCTCCGTGGACTCCATAGCGTGAGCGAGCGAAGAAGGCAAGGAAGCAGGAAGGGGAGACGAGTGTCGGTACAGAAAGTGACCAACACGTAAATATTTATAGTTTTGCTATATGTTGTGATCGGAGGTGGCCTAGCACTCAATGACATAGGGTTTATACTGGTTCAAGCAACGTGTCCTACGTCCAGTTTGAGTCGGACGGTGACTTTATTCTCGAACCCAGGTGCTCGAAGGTTGTTGTGGGGTTACAAACGGAAGGGAAAAAGATGGAGGGTACAAGAGGTCCGGTTGGACTCTGGTCTGAGGGACCGAGAGTGACGGGAGCTCCGCTATGTGCTAAGTGTTCCAGCATGTGCTTGAGGTTTGAACGTGGTGGTTCTGTTGTTGTGTACTAGTGAACTGATCGATCTGATGAATCTTAGTCTTTTGGGAGAGAGCGCATCCCTTTTTATAGATGAAGGAGATGGCCTTACAAGTGAGAGGGAGAGAGTACGTATGCTGCTAAGTCTTGCTGCCCACGTCGGCGGGTACAAGATGATGGTAGGCTCCCACAATATTGTTTAATGTCAGATGCATATGGGAGGTTGCGTCGTCTTCTTCAGGTTATGGCAGATGTCGATACTGGGCACACTGTTTTACCATGTTCGTCCGGTACGGTAAATAACGGGGCCCACAATACTGTTGATGCCTCATAGGCACGTGGGGGGAGCCTTACCGTATTTGTCTGGTATGGGAGTTGATGGCGCCCACAACACTGTAACAAAAAATGTCGGCGCCTACAACACTGTTTGGGTTCTGTCATGTAAGGGAGGTCGCAGGGTACTGTCCTGTAGGTGTACAGGGTACGGTCCTCGGTATTACGGTTGACTTGAGTGCGCTGCCTTACTTTCTCCGTCTGTTTCCTGGTCCTTACCGAGCGGGCGTCCCCGATCGGTTGGTCCTAGCCGGCTCTGATTGCGCCAGTCGGAGAGGAGCTATAAGCAGGGGTTCAGCGCATTCCCGGTCGGAGAAGCGGATTGGAGTCAGAAGCGGTGTTTGGCCAGGCCTTCCGGTCGGAGAGGCCGTCCGGAGGCGGGCTGGAGACCGAAGCGAGCGCTCCGGCTAGAGAGGCGGGCCGAAGTCAGAAGCGGGCGCCGTTCCTCCTCGGCCATACCTTCTGGTCGGTGATTGGATTGCCCTCCTGACCTGTCGTTTAGGTATTTTGGGCCGGCCCATGAGTTGCGCGTTGTTTGAAACGTTGTCTGCTGGGTCGAGCCTTTGTTGGGACGCCGGTTCGTGAGGGACCTCGGGTTTATGAACCCGACAGGAGCCCCCGAGCCTCCAGGCGATTCAGGTAGAATTGTTTGGGGGATTTTTGTCTTGACGGCGGGTGCGCGTGAGCGCACCCGCGGGTGTAGCCCCCGAGCTCCCAGGTGATTCGGGCAGAATCGTCTGGGGGGTTTTTCGTGTTGCCAGCGGGGAAGGTTTTGTTTCGTCAGCGGGTGCACGCGAGTGCACCCACGGGTGTAGCCCCTGAGCCCCGAGTGATTCAGGTAGAATCGCCTGGGGGGTTTTGTCAACGAGCGTGTGTGCGTGTTTTTTAGTCGAGACAGTTAGTTTAGGGATCGGGTGAGATGGAACTCGCGGATCCCGACGTCGATGCAGCCCACGTAGCCGAGGCAGTTAGTTTTTAGGGATCGGACGAGGCGGAGCTTGTGGATCCTGGCGTCGGTGCAGCCCGCGTAGCCGAGGCAGTTAGTTTTGGGATCGAGCGAGACAGAGCTCGTGGATCCTGATGGGGCGAGTTCGGGGTCGTAGACCCAGGCGTTGGTGTGCAGCCGAGACGTAGCCGAGGGATGGGGCGAGTTCAGGGTCGTAGACCTAGGTGTTGGTGTGCAATCGAGGCGTAGCTGAGGGATGGGGCGAGTTCGGGGTCACAGACCCAGGTGTTGGTGTGCAGTCGAGGCGTAGCCGAGGGATGGGGCGAGTTTGGGGTCGCGAACCCAGACGTAGCCGAGGGATGGGGCGAGTTCAGGGTCGCAGACCCAGGTGTTGGTGTGCAGTCAAGGCGTAGCCGTGGGATGGGGCGAGTTCGGGGTCGCAGACCTAGGTGTTGGTGTGCAGTCGAGGCGTTGGGCTTGGTGGGGGTCGGTTCTGAGTTTTGTGCATTACCCCGTCCTCGGTTTCTCACAACCGGAGGGGCTGAGCTTTGTCGCTTGCCTTGATCGCTCGGGCTTGAGTGACGCGCTCGGTGAGCTCGCTAACGGGTATGATCGAGTGGAATTCGTGTCCGTCGTTCGTGATGGGGTCGGCATATCCCTCTTGTGGCATTCCACTACTCCTTTACCTGCAACCCGGCAGATGCCTAGGTCGTTCCGGAGTCCGACCCAGGTGGCCCGCTGGCCTCCCCTCGATGGAGATTCTGTGGGTTTGGCAGAGGTTTAGGATCGAACGAGAAGGCTGAGATGACCCTGTCTGCTTTGGGGCAGACTGGGCGAGGGCCGCATGTGGCTCATCTGTGTTTTCTCCCCTGGCTCTGTTTGACACGAGGCTGCCTCAAGCCCTTTGTGGGCTGGCCTTCGAACCCTGGTCGGTCGTTGCTCATGTTGAATGAGGCAACTGCCGCTTCGTGACGCAACACGGAGCGTTGTGATGCATTTAGCCGCATGTGCTATGGCTTAGTTCCCGAGCCCCTGGGCGATTTGGGCCTGAATCGTCCTAGGGGCGCAGGCATATAGAATGAATGCGTGTATGAATGATTATATATATAAAGAAATAGTGGGGGTCTATAATGTTACCTTGATGACTCGAGTGACGGGGCTTGAAGAGCTCCAATCGGAAATGTCCGACTAGGACCCATGCTCGTTGTTCATGACAGAGTCGGCATGGCCCACATGGGGCGTCCCTTTGTTCTTTACCTATCTCTCGGCGTTTTCCTGAGCCGTTCGAATCGTCTCGATGACTCGAGTGACGGGGTTTGAAGAGCTTCAATCAGAAATGTCCGACCAGGATCCATGCTCGTCGTTCATGATGGAGTCAGCATGGCCCATATGGGACATCCCTTTGATCCTTACTTGTCTCTCGGCGTTTTTCTAATCCGTTCGATTGACTCAGGAGGCCCGATGGTCTCTTTTGGCGGAGATTCCGTAGTTTGGACCTTTCCAAGTCTCGTCTGGGAAGGCGGAGGGTCACTTGCGCATGGTGGTGCTTTGGTTCTTGCGCCCGGAGTGCGGTAGTGGTGGGCCATATCCAGGCCACGTCCTGTCTGACCAGGCGTCATTCCGTCGGTCAATGTGCGTCCCATCAGTCAGGGTGCGTCCCATCGTTTCCCATCCGCATTGAGTGGGGGAAGGGAGAGAGTTTTTCGCTCTGATCTTTTGCCCTTCTTCAGCTACCGTGTTTCCTCCTTAAATAGGGGAAGGGAGAGGGCTTCTCGTCGTAGTCTTTTGCCTGTTCTCCAACTATTGCCTCTCCTTCTTCCTTCTCACCGAGAGTGCCTGTATGCCGCGACAGTTCCTAAGTGAGAGAGAGGGTAAGCGAGGGGAGGACTCATAGATCCCTTCATGAATCCGGAGTGCAATGTCGAGCTAGAGGCTGCCCAAGGCGGTGCTGGCCGTCTTTGCCTGAGAAGGGGCGGCTTTCGCCGAAGGAGGTGACGCGCTGGATTCATCTGCGAGGCCTTTTTTCGAGATGGAGCCGTGACTCTTTCCGGTGGATCTTCACCGGGCGAGCTTTGTCGAAGGGGAGTTGCCTAGGATCATGTTGGTGGAGGGTTCCGTGCCTGTAGCTGCTCAGGTTGGCCAGTTTATAAAGTTTGATGAGATATCCTCCAGCCACGATGGCCATACCTCGGCGGGCAGCATCCCTATCCAGGAGCTGCCTCGACTGCATGAG